TCGTCGGACTATGGCTATGGTCGCAATCTTGCACAAGTTATCTTTTACAGCTACAGCTGGTTAAGGGCATCGTTTCGCGTGGTTATTTTTCAGTTTTTTTCTACATTGTGCGACATTCAGAGCTGGATGGTGCGAAGAAACGGTTGTGAGCTAGAGAAGGTAAGGATTCTTGCCTGAAACCGAGGTGGAAAAAGCTTGCTTTGTGGTAGGCGGACCCACTTCTCTGTATCAACCACTGGAAATTATGCGATTATTACAGTTGTTGTCGTTTCCAATCATCGGGTCGTAGTCAGAAGGCGGGAATGATCCATTCACTGCTTTTTCCACTAGTGGTGGTTCTGTCCCTGGACCGGAGCACGATTGGAAGAAAACGCAGCCATGGTCGGACTCATACCACGCCTCCCAACACCGCCCCGCCATGCCGACGATATCAGTTACGCTTGTCCTTAACAAGTCCTTATGATAAAAGAAGATGTTCGATGCGATTTTGGCTGCCTTCGGAGCTTTGCGCCACAATGCCACTATGTTGGAATAGGGCCAATCGTTGGAATCAAAGGATAAGCTCAGATGGAACGGGTTCCAAATATGATTCTCGGATTTCAGAATTTGGTAAGGTGGTGGAGAGGTTGTGAAATGAGGAACAGAATTTCTGGGGGAGAGGGGAGATATTCGGATGGTCTATTCTTACTACTTAAGCATCTATGTTTTGAAAGGAATTCGTCCAAAAATCTTTCAAGAAAGGTAGTTCTTTACTTTTCGTGTGTGTGTTTTTTTGTGGCATTTAAATCTTTTCTTTGGTAAGGTAATGCTTTTTGAATGGCGACAATATTTAACTTTAGCGCACCAGTCTCTGTTGATGAAATGTCGACTGACGCTGTGGTCTCTTAGTTGCTCGCCGCTGTGTTTCTCCTCCCCGCCGCCGACGTCGTGTACGGACCAGATTTGCCTTTCCAAGATCTCTCGTCTTTGGTCAAGAGGTCTAATTTTTTGATTAACTTTCATAAGTTTATTGTTGCTGTGTTCAGCAGTATTTCTCAGCGCTTCGAACGCTAATTTGAAATGAAATTTTTAGGCGTTAAGAAATACACGTAGTAATGCACTTACTTGTTTTGGCGTTGTGAATTTGCCACTACATTTTTCAAGCGAAGGAAAGGTTTTTGCGGCGTTGTCATGCGTCAGTTTCATTTGAACGCATGTAAGCTGTTTCTGGGTCGACGTCATTGAGTCCTCCACAGCCGCTGCCGTCCTTCAAACCGAGGAGGAAGTCGAGCTGTTTTCCGAATTGTGAGCTTTTTTCCAATTTCCTATGTTGTTCACAATTGGTGTTTCTGTGAAAATCTTTGTATGAATCGGAAAAAATATCATTTCCATAAGGTGCGAGCGTGGGACCGTTAATCTTTTTGGCTTTCTGTTTTATTGAAATTAGATTATTGTGGTCGGAGCTATTCCTATAACTACTGGTCTATTGTCGATGCAGAGCACTCCCGACGACTGAAACCCAGCAGACGGCGAAACATTTTTCTTTCAATGTTTGGCAATCAATTATTTTGAATCTCTTGTAATGCCAGTGGTGCCCCTTACTTGTACCTTCCGACACCATTGGCAATAAGTAGCTTTTTGAAAGCGTATTTCCTTGAATTGAGGTTATAAGAATGGCCTTGAGTGGACCTCCAGTTCTCTCGTACCAATTTTTCCTTCTTCCCTGGAAAACAGCGGTGGTCATTCTTATTTTAAGATCCCTGCAAACGATGGGGCACGTGACCGAGCACGAAGTGAAGTGCAGCCTTTACCGCCAACTGTTGCGGATACAAAATTGCAACAATGGTGAAAAAACTCCCTGGCTACGCTCCAATCCAAGCCTCGCACGCCCTATCGTTTGCAGGGATCATGACTTACTTTCACTAATAGCCGTTGGAGGCTTACATCCGTCTGTAATAGCCCTAACCAGGGTTAGGTCGAGAATTCGTGATGGTCTTTCTGCACATTTCCATTGGTTTGAAAAGATAAGAATACGTAAGGATCACTCAACCAAACTACTTTGAATGGCTGGATTTAGGCACAAGAATCGTTGGGGAATCCACTTTGGTGTCCTTTATTTTTAGCATAGAGGCGAATTATGTCCTTGTTTATTCCGCCTCCATCAGTGGGAATGAAACAAGGATAGGTTCGCGAATGTCGGATGGTGCTAACAACCCCTGTTGGACTCTAGTGCACATGGCAAGAATAATGTTCCCATCAACATTGGAATCATCCCCTCTGTTTCGAGAGGGCCTAAGGTGAAAGCGGAAAAATAGGGTAAACTTTCATGCAACTTCTGGTTATCTCGTACACAGATCCAGCAACGTTTTCTAATTAGACAAAAAAATTCGCGTAAGAGTTCTAAAGAAGTGAAGTAGCTACCGCATTTCTTCACTTGAAACAATTCGACGGTCTTCTTCTACTTTGGATTACTTTCCTAGATAAACGAGTCCTCATGGCATATCAAGTAATTTCGTGCTCTTTTCATAGAGAATTGTTAGTAAGTTCTGTGCGACTGGCGAATTGTAGGTATTTTGATCAGTGCACTTTTTACATAGAGACCAGCATTCAGAGAATAAGTCGAATTAGCGAAAAACAGTATAGATTAAACTGACCTGAGAAAACTATGATACTCCGCATGTCTAGCACCCAGAATTCACTTGAACTCCTTAGAGATTCTAAAAACAACGGCTAAACATGAACTATGTAAAATCCAGAAGTCCTCGTAACATCTTATAAGTTTGCGTTCCGTTTACTCCCAGTGAATAGAATTCTCAAGGGAAATCCCTTCCGTTTGTCATAAGTTCTGTTTCGCAGTAGAGCCACTATCTCAGAGTGCGTTCATATTTTGCAACAACGTTTCGAGCGGCTACGAAAGTATAGATGAACCGTTATGAGCGGCCACTCGCTGAGAAGCTGACGGTAAGAGCGCGTTCAGACTTCGCGATCGCGCGATCCGGATCGCGCGATTTGGATCGCGCGATCGCGCGCAGCTGTGGGTGAAATCTTACACCGAGGGTCATGTTCGTTCATGGTTGACTTGTCCTGTTGTTTTCCCTTTTCCTTCTTTTCTACTTTGACATAAACGCCCTCCTAATTTAATGGAACCGTTTCCGACAATACATCTCTGAAGTTAGTTTTATTATTTCCTATGTAAATAGTACTAAATATACAATATGCTAATTATTATACTGAATTTTGCATCTGAGTACGTTCAAGCGGAGTATTGAACATCTTGTTCCAAAAGTAAGACACGCAGAACTTTCAACAGCGGGTGATGTTGTTTCTCTCCCCCGATTTTGCCAGTCCTCCAGATATTCACTTTACTTTTGTCACATTGTTGCTTTGTTTGTTTGTGTCTGTCATCCTCCAGGTCTATACACAACCTTTCCTTTCGACGGTTTCTGCAAACGTCAGTATTGCGAATATGAACACGGAATAAAAGACATCAAAAAAGGTCGAACTTACTTTTATATCGTTTTTGGAACTGCCTATTGGAGGCAGGATACAGCATTGTGATGTGAGAAATGGTGATATTAGTACGCTCCCTTCCCAGAACTTTGTTGTTGTTGTTTGTTGAGTTGAGTTGAAAAATGAACGGCACATGGGCCCCCCCCGCAGTAATTTTCACCCCTGCAGTAAGCTGTGCGATTCCGATTGCGCGATCGCGAAAGTCTGATACCGCGCTCTAAGGCAGCGTTGCAGAATTCGGCGATGGGAGCGCTCGGTCGCGCGCCTGACGATGCCCGATGCGCATCTGCTTTCCCACTGCTTTCGACAGCGTTGAGGCGCGCGACCGAAGCGCTGCCGTCCGCAAGTCTGCAAACCTTGCCTAACATCAGAGTATGAACGCACGCTCTTACGCGCTAGGCATGCAAAGGCTTTCCCTATGGCAGTGTTCCGGCTATGTGTATGACTGCTTTTTATTAGCTTGAAATCCTGTGCTCCTTCATTTGGTTCTGTGACCTTTTAACAGTGAGTTACATCGGTTTGGTTTGTTTGCACGCAAACTCTCAGCTTCCATAAATAGACAAATAACTCATGAAAATACAACTGGAAAATGTAAGTGTGATCTTCAAAACGCTACGTTTAGCTCGGACTTATCGGAATGCCGAGCACTTTTCTGATAATTCGCAGAAACTTTCACGTCTTAATAGTTTCATCACACTTGTTCCGGATTGATTTGTCAGTGTACTCCATATCCTTTCCTTTGCTTCTGTTTTCATAAGGTTTTTGCATTGTTTTCGTAGATTAGAATGCATTCACACTTTGCGTCAGCGTTTCGAGCGTACGGCAGCGCTTTGAGCGACTAGGAGAGCATAGATATCACTCTAGCATTTCGAGCGTGCACTGGCGTGCGCTAAAAAGGCCAGATCGATTTCTATACTTTCCTTGTCGCTCGAAACGCTGAGGTAATTCGTGAACGCGCTCTCATGTAGCCTCTAGGGCGTATTGCTCGCGCTCTGTCGCTCAGGCTATTTAACATATTTTTCCGCTACTAGTTGACTACCTTATTTTTATGATCTACTAATTACGACTGAGTTTTGAGGCTCATTCTTGAGTTTTTTTTTTTCAATTTCTGTTGAACTACCCTATTTATTCTTTACTTCTGCGAGTAAAGTTTGAAGTCGAGTGCTCTGCTGTATTTTTCATTTCTCATCGATTTTCCCGTGAAAACCGTGACCTTTGGGTTAGGCCGCGTCATACTTTGGCCTATTGAAGAGACAGCGAAATTCCGGCGCTTTGGGAGATTGAGTGATCCGGTTATTGATAAGACTCTTCTGGTGCGCAATCACCGGAGATGACAAATCACAGGAGATCCTCCAAATCGCTTTTATTTATCGCTCACTCTCCACAGTTCCACCGAATTTCGTAACTGTATTTCTGCGCACTCTTTCAAATCCCTGAATCTACTGGGTCGAATTTCCTCAGTCGCGAAGCATAAACGCGGCCTTTGTTGGTCTTTATGAGGTTTATTCAGAATGGCCAATGTACAGAAATGGCGTACGGCTTTCAAGGAAATATACGGTCGAACTCCTACAAAAAATGACTACAACGTGGCTCCCCAGCGTGTTAGAGGTACTTTAAAAAGAGATTCGTTTGTAGCTATTCCAACTGAAAACTTCTGGAAATTTCCTGATCTTAAATGACTCACGTCTATGTGGAAAAAAAGCTTTCTGCTCGAGTTCCTAGGAATTGATAGATTATTAAATTTTGCAGCAACAGTGTCGTCAATTTTCCATTGATGCTACGACTTCCTTGGCGGTCGCGCGAAACGTCCAGCCATTCTCAGCCATTGTAACAAATCATTTAGTGTCTGGTAATTATTGTTTCTAACAATGTGAGCACTGTAAGATTGTTTTTCAGTATAAGGAGATATTAGCTTTAGAACTAATCGGGCTTCTTTTTAACGCTCTTATTTTATTGAAACCCTCGTAATGCCGCATAACATTCGTGACGCCGTACGGCAATATGAGATGCTAGTGCTGATATACAAATTAGATTGGCGGTAATGTATAGGTCTTCTGTTTAACGTATGGCGGGTGAAGTGGTATGTCACGTGAAATAGCTCACTCAGTCATTAGTGTTCGACCGATGAACGTATTCTTGGGTTGATTTGAATGGCTTGTCGCCCCAATGAATTGGCCAATTTCAGCATTTGCCAAGTAGCCACGCAATCAAATGCGAACATGATGGTGCCTGGTTCGTCTTATAAGTGGGCATTCTCACATCTCCAATTCATTTTAGAATTTTCCTTCGGAACTATGGAAATAGAAGAGAACGGGACTGCATTTTCTTATTGCAGGGCATGTTCCTATTGGAGGTTTCACATGGTATAGGTAAGAAAAATGGTCTTGAAAAGATAACTTCAGGTGGAAAGTACCTGAGAAAAGGATGAAAGATAGTAGCGATTCGCCTCAGAAAAGGATCAGCAGGTATTTAACTACCTTCTTTCTCGGACTGGCTCCATCGCCGACATGTCAGGCTCATTGCACACCTCCATTATAGTGGGAGAGCAACAAGGAGAAAGGCACTGTAAAGTGAAAAGTAATCCCTCTCATTAAAACTGTTACGCTGAGGTTAACTAAAGACCATAGTCTCTGTGTACCAATCTTCCAACGGCACGTGGACACCTCTTTCAAGAATTCCCGCGAATCAAATTTACAGGTAGTGCTAGTCCATAACTAGTAGCCCATTGAGTAGCTACCATTAGAGAGAACGAAAAAAAAAACTGAGGAACAACCCTAACAGAGACTCTCCTGCGCAGTTGTGATCGGCGCCTTGGACGCCGGTCCAACTGCTAGGAGAGGTCGGCCGTTGAATAAGTCCAATCAGCAGGATTCAACATGCAACCAACTCCCGGCATGAGGCTGAGGCAAACACGCGCTGCGGATGCTTCCAGGGACGCTGTGTACAAGCGCAATTCCCGGCTTGTAAGCCGTTGTATATGCAACAGTGAGAAACTTACACTTGTCCGGAAAGTCTGCGATAGTCACGGCGCTCTAGGCTTTCTTTATCTCGCCGTTTATCGAGTGACGGAAGTTTGTAGTTCTCCTGCGATGCGGAACAAACGATCTAATGCACTGATGCATTTAGCGGACCACTTGATCTCGGAAACTTTCTTTAGTTCTTTTATGGAAATTCCAGTCACAGGCTTCCGTTTGCAAGCTCCTTTCTATCTTGAGCTGAACTATTCAAAGGGTAACCCATGTCAAGTCATGTTTAACGAAGTACGCTGTCACGCCTACCGCATTTCAAGGAAGTGAAAGTGTACGCCACAACCGAGAAGTTCAGGGATTCTCGTAGGTGCAGAAGAGTCTCTGCTGCGAGATGGCTGCGATTTGACGTTTCAGCTCCTTGAGGACGCAGGGAGCGTGTCAGCGCGGCGATGTGCGTGCGGTACCAAACTCGTTCTCCACCACTTGTTGAAGCGAACAAGTACAAAACTGCATCATCTCGTTCGTATCACTCGTTTTCTAACAGTTGTTGCCAAATACTGTTCGTATCACTCGTTTTCTAACAGTTGTTGCCAAATACTCGCTTCAGCAACTGGTGGTGAACGGGTTCGGCGTCGTTTCACACTCACACTGTCTTACACGCCCCTCCGTCCGCTGCGAATTATACTTGGCCAGCTAGTTTCTCACCTTTTCTTCATCATCATCATCATCTCCTTCATAGAAAATCTTTTTTCCCGGGTCCAAAAATACTTGGAACGGAAAAACGTATCGCAGTATATGGCTGTATTCAACTTGTAGAGCACGTCGAACACATGCAGAACAAGGTAATTGGCTATCCGAGACGACTAACTGAAAGCGACATGGTCCTGCTTACCCCCTGTAGTCTATCTGCTAATTCGCCGTTACTTATGAAATGATTCAACGTGAGGGAAGTGACCCTTCGGTAGTATGGGACTCGACACACAACAGCGACTGTAGCCTGGACCAACCTGGAGACCAGAAGGGCATGGGAAAATCTTCGATGAGACGGTGGCAGTTGTGTACAATTTTTGATGAAGGTCTTGCTTTCGTCGTGGGCTTCTGAGAAATTTTCATTCCTTTCCTGCTTTTAGTGAATGATGTTAGCAGTTCTACCATATTATGTGATGGTTGGTCGAACGTCTTTTTCATCTTCTCATCCTCTCGGACCCGAGTTATGGGGGGTCGCATTTCGCTTATTTACCCGGGGTAATGACCCCTACAAGAGAGGGAGAATGAGATGCCGTCAATACGATAGCAATGGAGGAGCTTGGTCGTGTAAATGGTTAATGAATTTGGAAATGATATTGCCATTGAAGATTGTCCATCAGGTTCCTAACAGATATTTATTGCTAGAGTAGTCTTTTCGAGCTATAATTCCAGCACGAAAGTTGCTCTTTCGCAGAAAATAAATAATTGCTGCGTTCAAAGGATCTAAAATCGCATGGGGCAGTTAATCTTAAGAAGTGCCCGTTTCGCCTTTTCTGTGCAAATTATTGCTAACTTCATAATATCGAGGAAATTATCGATTTCTCCGGGTAGCTACATAAAGTACAAGCAGAGGTTGGTGACCTGGGAGTTTTGGCGGTTCGTTGTGGATCTCATAACTAGTGAGTGCTTCTCGATAAAAAATCAGGCGCGCACCAAATATTCTTGCCGGACGCGCGGTACGCCCTTTCTGTAGTAACTTGCCGCTCTGGCGTTTGGAGGAAACCCCTCCTCCCATCACATTGCGTACAGTTTTGGCTGAATAAGCCCCCCCCCCTGTGGATGGTGTGTCGACACCAGTTGTTGGAGGAACGTCGCTATGGTTTTGTTGGCTTTGTTCGTTGGTTTTGTTGGTTTTGTCGACTTGAGTTGACTGGCGAGAATTCTTCGATCCCATGTATCGGTATGACGGGTTTTGGAAATATTGGACAAATTATAGCAAGCACCCGACACCAGTTGCGTAGTGCTAAAATGCGCCACCGAGTTCTGGGTGCTACGTACTTTGTTGATCTGCTTACCCCGTCACTTCATTCTATATAAGAAGTTTCAGCGGTACTGCTCAAAGAGCGAGAGTGTTCTGTTTTCTTGCCCCACACTCCTTATTCAGCTACTGTCTATACTGTCTGGCATTTTACAGGGATGCTATATTTCAGCAAGGACCTCTCTTGGGTGAGAGACTTCGCGCTGTATGGCCTGAGTAAGCTGAGCTATTTCTCTGCGGGGCCAATGAATTCCTGAGAGCTTGAAAATAATTTTTTGACCATGATTGCTTTCGAATTCATGTACAGGCCAGATACTCGACTCTACGGTTCTGAGATGAAGTCGAATGCGTGGACTATTCCAGCGGAGCATTGCACGATAGTCAGTTGAGCGGAAAAATGGGCGGAGTTGTCTTCCTTGCACATTTGTCATTGGCGATACTGGAGGGAGAGACGCACTAATGAAGAAGGCACAACGGCTGGAGTATTTACGCTCGTTTCTCCGCCCAACCGGCTTTCGCGCAAGATATCCTTGAATAAATTTACTGAAGTCCGCTTACTGTACCTTCCTATTTTTTCATTTTTTTCAGAAGAATGCTCCACCGAATGTCCCGCGAGCGCTGCTATCGCTGACGAACCAGAACCTCCACGGAAAAGTGCAGTTCGTCTGAAACGACCTAATCTTGACACAGAAGAGAACAGTCCGGTCAAGCGAAGGCCGGCGAAAGCTCGTCGCCTTTGCGGCGATCCACAAGGATCTCGAACAAGCCCCAGGAAAAGCATGGCTCAATCGACGAGGTTCATTTCACCGGTATGTGGCTGTCTAATGTTTGCTGCTGGATAGAGTGATAGGTTGAACGACGTTGGTCTGAGTATCTGAATAGGAACGTTTGTAGGTCGGTGGTAGCAAATGGATCTATAAATCGGCCTGAGAGCCCCAAAATCTAATGCCTCAAAAATGAGACCAAAGCACATTCTGCAATTAGGGAAATTTCTGCAAAATACGACCCTCCCCTCGAATACTCCTCCCCTGGTACGACCCCGTCCCTTGTCATCAAATACGGCCCTCTGCGCTGGGATCCATAACTTGCCCTGGGGAAGTAGTGAGACAGAATGCTTATTGATGGTTCTTTTTGTGAGGTGCGTTAGGACGAATATGGTCAACAAGAGTATGTTTGGACCGCGTTCAGACTTCGCGATCGCGCGATTGGATTCGCGCGACCACGACCGGTGGCGCTCTACCGCCAAACGATGACCGCCGCAACGGCTTATTTTATCTTAGCACTGTGTGAACGCGGCCCAATCTGAATTCCGTGGATGCCCTGTTCGTGGTGCACGATCTGATGAAGTGATTCAATCGATCCGAACGCGCGATGCAGTCGCGCGATCGCGAAGTCTGAATGTGGTCTTACTGTAACTTCACAGCTATGTAAGCTCTTTTTGGGCTTGTGGGTCATAAGCGTTGCCATTAGGTTTCGCAGGACTTGAATCTTTGAAATAAACAAGATTTTAGTTGAAGTCTGCGAATAGTCCGAATTGGCGCGGATCAAAAGGTGCCACTGGATTAACACCGCTCAAGGAAGTGCAGTCTACATCAGCTGCTCTGCCTACGCCATCGCCTCTGCACAAGTCGCCAACGAAGCGGTTATTAGTAAGGTTTCAAGATATTCTCTCCATTTTGAATGATGAATACTTCTTCGGAAGTGAGGCCAGTAATTTCAGGCAAATCCTGCATTCTCATCGTTGTTCGACACTCCTGAAAAAGGTATGTACTCGCTACATATTTAATTTTTTTTGCGATATTTAGCCAACCATAATTCATTTATCTCTTGATTTGGTGGTGAAAAATTATTGTGCTATAAAGTTACTTATGAAAATTTCTCTAAAATATTACTACTCAATGCTAATTCGCGCTGTTGAGCTTGGGAGGGAGCGTCGCTCTCCCCTAGTCTCTTATCAGTTAATGTTAAATTACATCACGTCTTGGTGAAACCCGTGGGCTCTGGTCAAGTGCAAACAAAGCACCTGCTATTCTATAGCCTTGCAGGATTTTAGAAGTGTACGCGGGAGACATCGACAGTGGTCGACGGGAACCAGCAAAATGTCCGCACCAGCCCGAACTGCGCTCTTAAAGGCAGTTGGCACGATAAGTCCCTAAGACGAGTAGGATTAATACGCCTGGCAGGACGGAATTCCGCGACCCTGAGCAGGCGCTGCGTAGCGCCTTTTCCAAGGAAGGTACCCTTATAAGGCCCTATCAAGCTACAACATACCGACCCGAACGCCCACCACGCCCGCCCGCCCACAAATGGACGACCGTTCCTGACGCTCGATTCATTTGCTAAGCAAATTATGAAGCGAAGGGATTGGTATGAAGCGGCCGCGGTGCTGCATGGATATATGAGTACACACATGCAGCCGTATCTTCGGTAGCGGTTATTGGCAAGATGCCTACGGGAAACTCGTCCGAAATCGATTTTCAAGTCACTGAGAACGGAAGGCTTTTTCTTCGCAGGATTTTGACCGTTTCACTCCGTTCTTTCGCCATTTTCCCACTATATAGCGCCCTGCTAGCATTTTAGGCCGAGTACCAAATTATCGTGCCAACTGCCTTTAATCTTACCTGCATGCTATATAAGAACTACTATCGCCTTGTTGATTAATCTATTAGTTTTTGTCCAAACTGTGGGGTGCTAGAAATAGCGCTTTCATCACGATAGTGGTGACGTGAAATGAGACATTTTAGTCTGTACCTATTTCGAGTGAAAATTTTAAGGGCAAACGGCTGCTTGGGGAGAGATAAGTCCGATGAAAACGATCGTATCTCCACAGAAAGGCATATCAATACGTTCTCCAAGGAAGCCGTTGGTGCATAAGGAAGTTCTAATAAAGGTGAAGATTTTTTGTATGTTTTCTATGATTTTGGCTTTAATAATTTTGGCATTCCGGACCGCCGTTGTGCGAGGATCTCCGCATAATTTCGTTACTTTTCAGACCAGTGATCAGCGATATCATCTGCTTTCTTTCATTTTTTTTTCTATGAGATTTTTATTCTGTGCTTAAAAACGTGTTCTGTTAACTTTGGAACATGAGTAATATGCCAAATAGACCGTATGAAACGGTACTATGAAACGGCGCGTAGAGAAGAAAAAAAAGTATGACACACCATGTGTGTCACGCTGTCCGGAACGTGTTAAAAAACGGTTTTTCAGAACGTTGAGTGCCTGTTACTACCGACTCCGGAAAAGAGGGAGCGTAAGGAGATATTGGACCCGTTTCAGCCTGAAGAAATGCCAAAAAAGAAGAGTGCAGCTGGGTTAGTGCAAAAGAGCCTGAATATCTATTGCGGTGTTTCAAATGAGACAAGAGTTTCAGGCCGAAAAAGGACATGGCTGTGGCATTTTCAGCGGAACAAGGACGAGTCATAAAGAGAGCTTTCAAAAGGTCAGTTAACTACTCTGGGATTGTTTTCTGGACGCAGATGTGAAACTTGTCGAGATCCGATAAAATCTCGATGAATTACGGTAGAAATTGCTTGCTGACGGAATCGGATGATGAGTCAAAAAAGAGGGTTTGATTCAATTTTTATGAAAGCAAAGAAAGAAGAGTGATGGTGTGAGGGTGGTGGAGGAGCGGAGGGGAGATGTGGGCGTTAAGGTTGTTACCTTTTTCTTATAAGCAGCGAAAAGTACCATCAAGGAGTTCAGTATCACAGGAGAAATCCGTCAAGTAGACTCATTCTATTCAAGAAAACTCAAGGGTAAATAAACCCTTCTAATATGCTCAGACTTACCATGTTTCGTGTGTGTATAAGGCCTGTTTTTCGGATACATGTAGACCTGTTCGCTGCGTATGAGGGGGGCGTGTCCGGCAGGATGAGTTTGGCGTTGTTGAAGCGAGCAGCGACTCTGTACCATACCAGCTTGTATCAGTTGTTTTCCAGTAACTGTTATCAGGTAATCGCTTCAAAAACTGGTGGAGAGCGGTTTGGCGCCGCGCCGAACCCATCCCGCTTGACACGCCCCTTCATTTGCAACGAACAAGACTGTATTCTGGAGGAAAGTGCGGAAACCAAGAGAGGATATTTTGGGGCTTCTGCCCAGATAAATATTTAAAATTGTGAAACAATGCATTAACACTAGTTTCAAAACGGCATTAGATGTCGCGCGCACGAAACCACCCTTTATGGGATTGGAGCATTGTCTACGGTTTTCAATGGATTACCTTAAAGGCAGTTGGCACGATAAATCCCCCAAGGCGACTAGGATCAATACTCCTGGCAGGATAGAATTCCGCGACCCTGGGCAGGCGCTGCATAGCGGTTTCCCCGAGGAAGGTGCCCTTATAAGGGCCCTATCAAGCCACAACTTTACGTCCCAAACGCCCGCCCGCCCACAAATGGACGACCGTTCCTGACGCTCGTATTCATTCATTTGCTAAGCAAATTATGAAGCGAAGGGATTGGTATGAAGCGGCCGTGATGCTGCATGCATATATGGGTACACATATGCAGCCGTATCTTCGGTAGCGGTGATTGGCAAGATGCCTACGGGAAACTCGTCCGAAATCGATTTACAAGTCACTGAGAACGGAGGCTTTTTCTTCGCAGGATTTTGACCGTTTCACTCCGTTCTTTCGCCATTTCCCCACTATACAGCGCCCTACTAGCATTTTAGGCTAAGTAGGAAACCATCGTGCCAACTGCCTTTAAGATTTTTCCATATTGATGAAGATTCTCACATTGAGCCCAAGTATTTAGCAGTATGGGGCGGAAGTGGTGTGGTGGCAGTGGCACTCTTACCACGCGCAAGGTCCGAGTTCCAAATCCTGGGTCGGCTCCTGCCCAGGCCGACCAACCCTTCTTACCTCCGAGGACGGCAAATTGGGACCAAATTTGTCATGGAGGCTAAGAATACTTATTTGTGCATCGACTGACCCCCGAATAGGCCACATCGCAGTCAGTAAGCCACTACAACTCTGAATGGAAGTAGAATGCGTGCCGCTGCCGCATTTCACAAAGGACTGATCAACGGCGGAGACTTTATCGTGTATCCTTTTAGTAGTATTACTTGGAGTAACATTAGACTCGGCGCAGTTGGGCTTGGGGGGTCACCGAATGGTACTCAGCTAAGCTTTTACAAGCCATTTTGTAAAAGTCTGTAAAATGCTGTGATCAAAATAGTTCACTTGCTCCACTTCGCAGCTTCACAGAAGTTGACCCGAGTGACACAAGTTAGTTAGCATGAACTATAAATGATTCTAGCGAAAGTGCAAAATGCCCTCTTCAAGCCAAACAGGACTTCAGTAATACTATTTAGTATTCACTAGTCA